GGTTCTCACGAGAGCGGAGTAAAGGGGCAGAATCACCTCCCTCGACCTGCTGGCCATAATAACTCAGCAGTTCACATGTTCTTCATCTACAGCATCTCTTAGGCCAGGTTTTGTTTCCCCTGAATCCCCCCTTCAGCATGGGGTCACCCTTCAGTGCTATGGTCCTTGCAGAAGCTGTGGTGCTGGCTCTCCAGGGAGAACCCAGGGGCTGAAGAGCAGCGTAGACACCCAAGGAGACCACTGTGGATCCTCTTGCTTCCTTTGGAGTCCTTGGGGTACTTGTTCAGCTCTCTGGGACTCCAAGCTTCCCCGGCAGCTGGACCCACGCAGAGCTGCCCTTCGTGGGACGCTTCTGCTCCGAGGCCAGGCTGCTCCTTCCAAGCAGGAGAGCGGAGCCTTTCCCATGGGATGGATCCCATCCGCTGTGGTACGGAGCCCACACAAGGTAGCTGTAAAGGGACCTGATGTTTTAAAAAAAAACCCAAACCAACCACAAATAAGCAAGCCCTCCTCTAACAAACATAAACCTTGCCTTCTGCCTACACCAATTTGGAACCAGCTTAATAAATAAATATAGCTGCTGAATAAATAACGGCAGGCGAACTTTCTGTCCTCAGGGCAACAAGGGACTCGTAGTTTTCATCCCCCACCTGTGAACCCCAACCTCAGCCTTCTTGAACCCTCTTCCCGGCTCTTTCCGCTGCAAATTTCCCCGTGAAGCTCAGCGGGAACAGAGAGGAGCAGCACTGCTGGACTGCCTGGGGCGTGCAACGCTACGCCATTTCCCCTCCCTTCTTCTTCAGCTCCAGCAGAGCTCCCAAGAAGAAGATCTCTTGGTGAGACTTCATAAGCCTCGCTGAGAATCCCTTCACAGAATAGGCAGGCAGGTGGCATTGCCACCTCCCATCTTGCCTATTTAGTTAAGGTACAGAGAGGAAAATATATTGGACCAAACAAACGAACTGGAGCTTACGTAGATCAGAGTTGAAGAGGAAAAGTATTAAATGTAATTTACTATATGCATAACGTTCCACCACGTTGTAAATAACGCCATGAGAGTGTATGGCCGTGGTTTGGTCTTGGCTGGTGATAGAGTTCTGTCGCAGTGCTGTGTCAGCTTTTAGTTTGATTTGGATTTTTCTTTTTTTTTTTTCCCCAAAGTGTAGTTAGCAAAGGCGGCAGAGCGCACCCAGTCCTCTGGTTTCCGAGTTGTTCTAGAGCAAGGAGAAATGCGAGCTGCGGCTTTGTTTTCTTTCTTTCTTATGTAATAATATTTCTTAAGGGAAGAGAGAGATGAGATCAGGGCTAAGCTGCCGCTACCACTGTGTGAAACCCCCGCGTTGGAGACAGCCAGCGG